TGAACCCAGGGCCTCAGGCATGCAAGGCAAGCGCTCTACCACTGAGCCACCTTCCCAGCCCTCTTCTAAGTCATTCTTGACTCTCTCCCTTTCCCTCTCCATCTCCCTCTCTCCCCACTCCTTTCTTTCTCTGTGTCTGTGTCTGTGTCTGTGTCTGTGTCTGTCTGTCTGTCTGTCTGTCTCTCTCTCTCTCTCTCTCTCTCTCTCTCCCTTCTCTTTTTTCTTCTCTTTGTGTCTTGAAGTATCTCTCTGGGTAAGGTTTTTTTTTTGTCTGTTTTTATCATTTTTGAGACAAAGTTGTGGTTGCTTTCAGAAATTGTACCCCTCTCTCACCTCATCTCCATCTCTTCTTTCTCTAGCTCTAGGTCTGATTCTGCTTCTTTCTCTAGTTTGTGTCAGCCTCTCTTTCTGAGATTTTTTTTCTCTCTCCCTCCATCTCTCTTCTGAGATTTGTTTTTCTCTCTCAATCTTGCTCAATCTCTGTGTTATGATTTGTCTAATCTCTGTGCCTACAGTGAGTATCTTTATAGCCAGACAGACAAATTGATTGATAGGAGATTAAATAGATAGAATAGATTATTAATAGAAGATAGATAGATACGGACATCTAGGTAAGAATAGAAATGTCAGTGTCTCCAATATGGCTATGTCTCTCTCATCCACATCCCTGTCTCTCTGTATTTGGAACATCTCATCCTCTATTTTGTACCCTACACTCCTCCTCCTGCCCTCCCCTCTCCCCTCCTCTCCTCTGGCCTCTCTGCTTCTCTCTACCGCCTTTCTCTCTTTGCCTGTCCCCATTGCCAGGACCTGAGGAAGGAAGACTCCAGAAGGAGAGAGGACTGAGAGGCCCCTACTCTCATCTCCCTTTGCTTTCCAGACCCAGCAGCTGCCTGGGCATGGACGGTGTGGGCACCGCGGTGCTGTTCCTGCTGCTGGCCGGCATCTACCTGCTCCTGTCCTTTGGCTTTCGCAGCAAGGGCCGGCTGCCCCCGGGCCCCAGGCCTCTCCCCATTCTGGGGAACCTGCTGCAGCTCCGCTCCCAAGATTTGCTGACCTCACTCACCAAGGTGCTGGCATGGGGCCTTGGGGGAACGGGATGGGGTGGGGGAGGGGGGGGGGGAGAGCCCCCTGTGACCTCCTTCTGTCCTCAGCTGAGCAAGGAATATGGCTCCATGTACACCGTGTACCTGGGGCCCAGGAGAGTCGTGGTACTCAGCGGGTACCAAACGGTGAAGGAGGCACTGGTGGACCAGGGGGAGGAGTTCAGTGGCCGTGGAGATTACCCAGTGTTTTTCAACTTTACTAAGGGCAATGGTAAGCCTCCTCCTTTCTCCACCATTCTCTAAGCTTCTCCTCCCCACCCCCATCACTCCAGAACCTTGAATGGCACCTCCATCCCAATCCCCATCACTATCCAACTCCAGCTCTTGTGTTTAAGGCTATTTCTCTCCCACATGAGTCAAGCTCTACTTTTGGTTCTTTGGATGGTTCATTGGAGATAAGCGCCTCACACTTTCCTGCCCAAGCTGGCTTTGATCCATGATCCCCAGATCTGAGCTTCCTGAGTCGCTAGGATGACTGGCATGAGTCACCAGCACCCAACATCCACTTCTTAAATTGTATTATCCAGCCCATCTTAATACCATTAGTCAGATTGAACTCTAGTCATTTCTCCTCCCAGATGAGCCACATCTTCAATCTCAATCACTGACCTAAGTTATCAAACCCCAGTCTCCATTTTCAACCTTAATCCTACTGCCATCATCAAACCAACTCAAGTCCAAACTGCAAGTCCATCCAACTCTATCCCCATCACCAGCCTCAAGCCCAATTTCCCATCCGTTTCATCATTTTCTCACTCCTTCAACTTCCCTACGGTCAGGCCCACCTCAACCCAAACTCATCTCCAGGATCTGCCGTCCGGCAATGCACCAGCGGCTCATGCCTGTAATCCTAGCTACTCAGGAGGCCTGAGATCTGGATGATCACAGTTCAAAGTCAGTCCCAGAAGGAAAGTTTGTGAGGGTCTTATCTCCAATGAAACACCAAAAAGCCTGAAGTAGAGCTGTAGAGCTGTGACTCAAGTGGTAAAGTGGCAGCCTGGAGCAAAATAGCTTAGGGACAGTGCCCAGGCCCTGAGTTCAAGCCTTAGTACATTAAAAAAAAAAAAAACTTGTTTTAATCCAAGACATTATCCTGTGGTTCAAAGTCCAATGGGAAATGCAAGCCATCATGAGACTATGATAGTAAGGAGTTGTCTGTGGTTCTCACTACAATGAGAAATGCAGTCAACAAGAGACTTCCCAGCAAGGCTAGAGACAGGTCAGCCTGGGAACTAGGTATTGCCACCTACTGCCTGTCCCTTAACAGGTGGCAATCAGGAAGGAGCAAGGCAGTAACAGAGACTGGACTGTGGAATTGAGGTTTGGGTGTTGGACTGTAGCCTTCCACCAGTTTCAGATCCCAAGGTTCCATTCCCCAAGGTTTTTATTGATTTTGTATGGGGAAGTATGTGCAGAGAGTAAAGTATAAACTTCAACCCATGACAATATTTCGTACAAACATAATAGAGGATTTCCTTATCGTGGGAGTGAGAGCTAAACAGTGAACATCTTACACTTTGCAAAAACCTTAGTCTACCTCCAGGTTCCCACACAGTTTAGGGTGGAATTAGCCCAAGCCCAGGATAGAACTGTATTCCTGTTAAGCCAGGACTGATTGGCCTTTCCAGGAAACTCTCGGTATTCTGAGAGTATGTTGGGAGAAGGCCTTCTAAACTCTCAGTCCTTTGGGGGTCTCACAGCTCAACTTTTTGGCTTCCCACAGCTAGGAGTGTCCAAAAGAAGGGCTGGAGCTGGGCTCTGATGACTCTTGCCTATAATCTTAGCTACTCTGGAGGGTAAGATCTGGGGATCACAGAGATAAGAGTCAGACTTTTTTTTTGGTCAGTTGTAGGGCTTGAACTCTGGGCCTGGGTGTTGTCCCTCAGCTCTTCAGCTCAAGGTGAGCACTCTACCACTTAAGCCACAGCACCACTTCCGGTTTTCTGGTGGTTTATTGAAGATAAGAGGCTCGTGGACTTTCCTGCTGGGGATAGCTTTGAACCACAATCCTCAGATCTCAGCCTCCTGAGTAGTTAGGATTACTGGTGTGAGCCTCTGGCGCCAGGCTAAGAGTCAGACTCTTATCTCCACTAAACGATGTAGAAAAAGCCAGTGTCAATGTGGGTCCAGGGTAAGAACACAAAGAGGCTCAAGGCCAGCGCCCAGGGCCTGAGTTCAAGCCCTAAAAATAAAATAAAATTTAAATTTAAAAGTGCTAGAACTGGGGCTGGGAAGGTGGCTCAGTGGTAGAGTGCTTGCTTTGCATGCATGAGGCCTTGGATTCGATTCCTCGGCACCACATAAGCAGAAAAAGCCAGAAGTGGCACTGTGGCTCAAGTGGTCGAGCACTAGCCTTGAGCTGAAGAGCTGAGGGACAGCGCCCAGGCACAGAGTTCAGGCCCATGACAGAAAAAAAAAAAAAAAAAAAAAGTGTTAGAACTAACAAGGGAAAACCATAGAAGGCTTCCTGAAAGAGAAGGAAGCTTTCCCCTCCAAACTGAGACCTGAAAGATGAAAATATCAAGCCAGTAGCAGGCCAGCGGTAAACAGTATTTAGGAGGAAAACCAAGAGAACTTGCAACAAGTGTAGAGCACATGGGCAGCAAAGATGGTGCTGAGAGGGAGTTGAGTGGGCAGAGCCCAATTTGCTTTACGTTAGTGAGTAACCAGCCTGTGGAAGCTTAGGTGCATGATAGGGTGTGACCTTGACAGTGATTGGTTCCTCTTCCTCCCCTGCCATCCCACCTGCTCTTTTTTGCTTTAAAAAGGGCTTGCTCTGTGTTAATAAAGGAGTTTCCTGCTTGACTTGACTCCCCGCTGCCTCTGATTGTCTCCCAGGCTGAGGGAGGCTGGGGAACGGGCAAGGGTCCCACTTACCTTTCCTTGGACCCCGTCCATATGGATGGACGAAGACCCGTCAAACAAGGTCTATGCAAAGGTCCAGCATCCAGGCTGGTTCTGGGATGGGCTCCCAGTGACCCTCGGTTTATTTTCTTTGTTTAAGCTCTCTTATTGTGCAGTGATCAATGAGTAACCACCAGCAAGGCTTCCACTGGGCAAAACCAAGGACAGAGTAGTGAACAATACACACCCCTGTCCTGGCTGACTAGTGTGTCACCAATGAGGAAATCCTTACTGTGTGTCTGTGCCAGTACTGGGGCTTAAACTCAGGGCCTGAGTGCTGTCCCTCAGCATTCTGACTAAGACTGACATTCTACCACTTGAGCCACAGCTCCACTTCCAATGTTTTGGTGGTTTATTGGATATAATAGTCTCATTCCTGCCCAGGCTATCTTTGAACCATGAACCTCAGATCTCAGCCTCCTGAGTAGCTAGGATGACAAGTGGGAGCCACCGGCACCCAGAAGTTAGAAGGTCCTTAAAGAAAGAAAGAGTCAGGGTGTTCAGAAGTGGGGAAAGGGAAGCCCAAGGCCCCGTGAAAATTCCAAGAAAACAACCTGGTCCATTCTGGAGGTCAGGGATGGAAAGAGACTCAGTCTCCCTTCCAGCAAGCGCCAAGAAAAGGGGGGGTTCAGGGGCTGAGTTGTCCACTGAGCTAAGCACTGCTCCTCTCCCCAGGCATCGCTTTCTCCAATGGAGAACGGTGGAAGGCCCTGAGAAGGTTCTCTGTCCAGATACTACGGAACTTTGGGATGGGAAAGAGAAGCATTGAGGAGCGGATCCTGGAGGAAAGCAGCTTCCTGTTGGAGTCCCTGCAGAATACACAAGGTGGGGGTGGAGGGGTCCTTAGTGAATACAGTCTGCACCCCTAACTCACACCCATCCTTCTTAGTAGCCATTGTTGTGAAAGCAAAATTTCTGGGGGAGGGGGTCCTCACTTGACTCATTATGAGAATGGCACCCCTAGAGGTGAATTTGCTATGATCAAGATTTTAGGCATGAGCCACCAGCACCTGGCTCTCCCCATTGTTTTGTTTTTCTTTAAAAAAAAAAAAAAATTTAGTCCTGCAGCACCAGTGGCTCACGCCTGTAATCCTAGCTACTCAGAAAGCTGAGATCTGAAGATAGCAGTTCAAAGCCAGCAGGGGTAGTAAAGTCCCTGAGATTCTTATCTCCAATGAACCACCAAAAAACTGGAAGTGGAGCTGTGGCCACAAGTGATAGAGCACTAGCCTTAAGCTGAAGAGCTCAGGGACAGTGCCCAGGCCCAGAGTTCAAGCCCCAAGACTGACCAA